TACTTACATTTCAAAGCGTAAAAAAAAAAACAAAAACAAAAACAAATAAAAAATAGATCATCATCATCATTATCATGAATAAAAAGACAAATTTAGAAGTGGTCCATCTTAGTGGTCTGTGAAACTATGGCTGTTCAAGAGATCACAGAATACACTGTTTGAGTCTTGGAAAATCTCTAGTAAGAACCCCAGATCCATTTCTTTTCCTTAAATTACAATCTTTAGAGAGGAAGTAGGCTCAATTTCCGCCGCTCTCTCGAGTCAGGTCTACGTTCCTCCCCGAGAAGAGTTCGGGGGAGGAGCGCGGGCTCCTTTCCCGAACAGTGGCTGGTAATCGAGCCTAGAGAGGAAGCCACATCAGCCTTAGCTGGTTTTCATGCACGTCCTCCATCCTGGTGGAATTAGAATTTACATGTAGAGATTTGTTTTAATTGACACCTTGTCACCTTGTTACATGTAATATAGACATTTTAATTAGTCATCCTTGTGATTTTGGTTTTCACGGAATTTGACTGTATGCCAGTTTAAGCTTGTGATTGCAAGAATTGTCAGAACCACAGTCACGCAGACAAGTGAAGAGAGAAAGTGTTTCTCAAGTTACATAACTGATGTTAGAGGAAGTCCATTACTAGATGTAGCTGGTACAGGTAAAGCTTACCTATTCCACAGGTGTTATAAAGCTCTCTTTCTCGTTCAATAACATTTTTTATCGTGTCTTCTCTTGATGCACGAGCTCTGCCTTGTCGTCCTTTAATACTGTTTTGTTCATTGATTTGTTGAAGCTCCTGATCAAATCGATGTAAATAGCTAACAAAGAGAGAACAAAATCAATCCTAATTAAAGCTCTGGAAACCAGCTATGTTAATTCAGGTGCATTTAACTAAACTGTTGTTGTTTTGTGACTTTCTTGCTATTTTAAAAACAGCATCAATGATCCCTTAGTACACGTTGTTGGGGGTGCCATATCAATGGAAAATGACTTGTTGCCAAGAACTGCATTCAAAAAGTCAAAAAGATAAAGTCTGCATAAAAGCCATGTGGCCCATAATGCCCTGGATAGGATGCAAATCCATCGCAGGGTTACCCCCAGCATTAAATTCACCAATACCCATTCATACACCTGGGTTGAGAGAGGCACTGTGAGAGTTAAGTGTCTTGCCCAAGAACACAACATGATGTCCCTGGGCAGGGGCCCATTTCTCGAAAGCCCCGGAAACTTTTCAGGCCCATAAAGCCATAGCAAAATCTTGAACCTTACAATTACAGAACTGTTTTATTCATATATTCTTAATATGAAGAGAAGTTCCCTTCGTACAAGAAGTTTCAGGCGTATACACTTCTCCATTTTTAGATACAGATGGACTAAAAATGGCTTTATGGGCCCAAAAAGTTTCCAGGGCTTTCGAGAAACGAGCCCCAGGGTTCAAATCCAGACCGCTCAATCCGGTCAAGCACACTAACCATGAGAGCTGTATTTAGATGAACAAAAAAAGAAACTATAAATGAGAAACTGCTAGGTTGACCCAGCAAAGGATAAAGGAGAGTGGAGAGAGAACTGAAAGAAAGTGGCCTCACCTTGAAGCAGTTCCTCTATGATGTTAATTATAGCTTTACCCTAAATTTATCAGTGATTCTGATGTGAAATGCATTAACTAACATGTATAGGAACAAGGCTTCATAATTTGCCTTGCACTGTAATGACATATTAATAGCTATAGCCAAACTTGACTGAACAGAATGAATTCAGAGATGGAACAACTGGGTAAGAGAGTGAAATTACAAGCATGATTACTCTCTCAATAGACCAATTTCGATATATTAAAATTCAGCCAAACACAATAGACCTCAGAACGAGGCTCTGGGGAATAAACCCAACAAACTCTTTATTTATTCCCCAGAGCCTCATACTGAGGTCTATTGTTTTAGGCTGAATTTTAATATATCGAAATTGGTCTATTGTAAAACACAAGGTCCAGTTATTGTATTAACAACAAAGTTCCAGGTAAAAAAAGTCCTCTTTCATATGCAAGACAACAAGTACCTCTCAATAAGTGTACACACTTCAGAACTGGTGTATTGTGTCTTTTCTTCATCTACATTCTCAAAAAACCATCTAAACTTTTCACCAACTGCAAAACAAAACAAAACAAAAGATTGCCTAACTAGAATAAATAGCCTACTTACAATACCCTTCAGTTTAAACCATCAATCAGTTTTTGAAAAGAGGAAAATAACTATTATTAAAAGCTGGATCATTGGATAGTGAAACTCAATCATTTTTGTTGGCTCAGCCATCATGGAATATGAACAATTATAAGCCATCAAATTATTATTTTTGCTTGTGCACGATTGGTCTAAATGCATCACGCGACTGAATATGCCCCCAGCTAAAACTTGCTTTTCAAAACAGAATCTGTGTTGAGAAGCAAAAATAATGTCAATGTACAAATATCCAAGCGTATTTTTGCGTCAAAATTAAAGACTACATCATTGTTTATTTATACCATGTTTACAAAATTAATATGGTAAGTGTACCCATAATTTTTGGGGGTGTTTTTATTTTTTTTATTTTTGTTTTAGTTTTCTATATTTTGGGGGTGTTTTTAATAATGTGTAGGTCCAGAAAATATCCATACCTCCCCCATGGAAGGGAATTTTTCTAAGTCCCCCCC